GGCAGCCCCGCCGCCCTGCGGCCCCTCAGGTGAGCGCGCGGCGGCGGCGGGGCCTTCCCGCGCGCGGCGGCCGCGCCCGGAGCCGCCCGCCTTTGTTGTGGCTGCCGGTTCCCCCCCGGGCCGGGCCGCTGTGCGGCCTGAGGGCTGCGGCTGAGTCGGGGTCGCCGCCTCTCCGGTGCGCGCCGCTCCGTGTGGGCTTGTTTTTCGCCTTGGCCTGGCGTGGTTTTGTGTCACCGCTTTGGCATCCGTTGCGCGGGGCGCTCGGTAGCGGCGGCCGCGGGGCTGGCCGGGCCCGCGGCGCCACCGGCTCGGCGTTACCCCTGCGGCTCTGATCCCAGCAGGGTCCTCTTCACGAATAAATACACCAATGACCTAAAGAGCGACCGTGGTGGGGTAGCCTAGCGAAGGATTGGTGTGCGGAAGGACGGTGTGCTAGAGGACGTTTGTCTCCCATCTGCCAGGGCGCAAGGTGGTTTGAAGTGCAGGTTCAGCCCAGCAAGTTTGGCCAAGCTCTTCTGTTAAGCACTTAATACTTTTAATGCTGCTAATTGAAGTAGTAGATCGGGTAGGTTCTCCCTGTAAAATGGTTGTCGGCAGCCTCTAAGTATTGTGGGAGATGAATGTAAAAGAAACTTGGCCAACATTTTTTTTTTGTTTGTTTGTTTGGTTTTTTTTTGTCTTCATTTTGACTTAAAACAACTGAACTGAGAGGACCTTAGCAATAGCTGCTTGATAACAATTTTTCCTGTGGGATCTGTCTTGGCAAAGCACCTCGGCCTACCCAGATCTGGTTCCAAATCCACTCTGAGATAGACTAAAAAAAAATGAAGTATTTTATGCAAAACAGTCATTTCTTTAAGTATGTGTAACTTCTTCACCGTAGTGCTTTTTCTGCAGAATCATTTACCAAGGTAATGAGAATATAGGCACTCATTGCAAGTGTCATGGAAGTTGGCTACCCACAACTTTTGATTAGGTGTTACTTTTCCCTTGGAACGTATTTCCGGTCTCTGGAATTATGCCCCTTTAGATTTGAGATATTGTTCTTCTTGCGGGTATTTTTGGCTTGTAAGAGGTTGAAATTCCTTGCCCAAGTTTGTCAATGCGTTGTATGCTATTTGCAGGTGTTTTATACAGATAAATCACTTCAGAATTTCAGGATTTGCTGATATTCCAGGATAGGAAGCTTTATTTCATTTTTTTTTGATATATGAATACATATGTATTTTTTTCCCTATCATTTTTTAAGGTAACAGAGAGGAAAGACTTCCCAAATCACTTCCGGTTCATAAACACTCTTCATATAATTGTAACTTTACATACCTAACAGTGTGTATTTTTTAAAACAAACTGTTTTCTACATTTATATTTACCATGATACCAAGTGTGGGAGGATTCTTTTTTTATCTTGTTCTTATTCACATTCTGGTGCTAAGAAGAGAACATAAATCAACGTCTCTCTGTAATGGAAAACCTGGGAACAGAGAGCCTGTGTTTCCAGGAGCTTGCAGCCGCAATGAAGGAGACGCAGCTAAACCTGATGTGCCTTTTCTCTGCTCAATGGGAAGAAAGTTTTCCTGGATTTTGGCTTATTAGGAGGAAAGTGAATAGGAGAAGGATTGGTAGGAGGGTGTGTCTGACAGAAGGGAGGATGGCAGGTCTGGAGAAAGGCTGCTGAGAAAAGGGGAAAAAGGCTGTGACAAAAAATGGAATCGGTAGAAGGCACTGGAAATTTTCAGCTTTTATTTTCATTTGTGTTTCTTTATAAATATCTCAAGCTAATGCTATGCTTCAGTTATTCTTGAGTATTAGTGCTGAGCTGATCAGATCATGACGTTATGTGCCATATGTGCTGGCAGAAAGCAATGTGATAGGATGGGCCAGAGATGCAGCTTGAGCTCTAATCTTCTGTTTTATGCTGTTCTTTATTTTTTTTATATATCACCAAATGTCAGAAACTGATATATTTCATAGGATGTGATGTGTAAATTTATGTATATTTATGATTTCATTATACTGTTAGTGCTGCTTACTATTTTGACAGGATAATGCTAATGAGAGAAATCTGAGCTTATCATTCTGGAAAGTCTTCTATTAAATGAAAAGCTTATTTAGTAGGCTTACTGCTTGCTTAGAACCCTTGTCCAAGGGGAATACTGCTCTGACAGCAATGAGCACTGAATATTTTCATAATGTTTTTAACTTAAGAGCTATCAGTATATTTAAAACCTCTAAAGCTATAATGGGACATATAAGCTAACCACTTCCAGCAGCTGCTAAATTTTTTCCTTAAGATAGTTACTCTTAAGTGTATTCTTAAGCAAAGTACTGAATAGCATGCTCATTATTTTAATCAATACAATGTATAAATATTTAATTCTAACATAATCTTGGAGCTATGTAGAATGATATGGGGATTTCATGAAGCACAACTAGGTCCATGATGTTCTAAATAAAACCAAAATAAACTGGGCTTTTTCTACCCAAATGTTCTGGAAGAAACTTATTTGGAAAAAGTTGGCATGCCACTAAATGAGGAAGAGGAAAATTTTGAGGTTTTAGATGACATAATACAGAAAAACCTATTCATGTCTTTTATTGTTTGTCCATTGAAGTTCAGTAGCATAGATTATAATGAACATATATTTCTTTTCCCTTTGTATCTGCTAAATATTTAATCTGCTTATTAATCATTTATGAATGTCCTTTTTTTTTTTTTTTGATCATTCAGTCAGTTCTTGCATCTTTTCTTTGATTTCTTATTACCGTTTTCTTTGCTTCTTCTCAAGGAAGACATCATAGAATCATTATGGTTGGAAAAGACCTTGAAGATTATGGATTCCCATCTTCTAAATTGGAAATATCTAGAGGTTGCATCGTCTCTTCAGAGTTTGTTTATAGAGCTGCATTCCCTTCAGCTCAGTGTCTTTCATCTTAGTTGCTAGCTCTTCATGCAAGTAAACGAGAAATTAAGATAATTAAGAAGTATTTTCTTTTTGCTTTTTTAATTAAAAGGAGGAGACACTAGAGTATATAGAACTTCTTACAATGGATGTTTTGCTCTGTATGGTCCTCTCCTTTTGAACACTTTCTCTGATCAATGTTTTAATGTGCTGTCTCTTGGTTCTGGGGAGATTGCTTCCTTCTGAGGTTCGTCATTCATTTTGTCTTTTTTTTTTTTTTTTTTTNTTTTTTTTTTTTTTTTTTTTTTTTTTTTTGCTCATTTGTGCTACTGTCAAGGCTGTGGCCTGACCCTGCCTGAGCTGTGTGTTCCCACTTGGCCTTTCTGCTGACTTGAGAGATCTTTAAAACATTGAGATATTTGTGGTAGAAAAATTAGCCCGATGAAAAAGTTTCCCTAGCTAGTGCGAAGGAAAGCACAGAAACCTGAATCCTGAGGAAGCTGAATGGATGTGACACCAGCAGCCAGTGGCTAAAGTGACTTAGGCTGTCCTGGAATTTCAGCCATAAAACATGCCAACAGAAATAGGTCTTAATTGTGGCTTAATAATCAATAACTCAAAATATATTTCTAACTTTGACTTTTGTAATACTACAATATTCTGTTCTATAAAAACAATATTTAATTATTAATACTTTTTAACCAAGCATAAAGTAAGGTACTGGCTGTAACTAATTTTTCCCCCCTGTTTCTTTCTAGGCTGCCATCATGACGGCTGAAGAAACAGTGAATGTTAAAGAAGCTGAAATAATTAAATTAATACTAGATTTTCTGAACTCAAGGAAACTTCACATCAGTATGCTGGCACTTGAGAAAGAAAGTGGGGTCATCAATGGCCTCTTCTCAGATGACATGCTTTTTCTTAGGTAAGACTTCTTTATCCAGTGCTTAATACCATGAACCCATGCAGCTGGATTATGTTCTCATGGGCAGTCAAGTCTCACTAAAACAGGGTTTAGATATAAAAAAGTCTTATATTCTCACCCTCTTCTGCTTCTTCCTGTCCCTAGTTGCATGGTCCAGCCCTATTCCTTGTTTCAGTTCAAAATGTAATGAAGGTAACTGTGCATCAAGAGAAGTTTGGAGTTAAACATTTTTTGTTTGTGTGCTTTTTGGCAAATGTCTACAAATTGAAGTGGGGGGGTCGTAAAGTGCTATTATCGACACAAAGTAAGTCAAGAAGAAAACATGTGAGCAGGAATAGGAGGGGAGAGCAAAATCTTGTCTGTACACCTCGTGTCATGAAATGGAGTGTGTAGATAAGTGACTTCTCAAATGGTCAAAAAAAATAGTTTAAAATACAGGGATTTAGGATGTGTGGTGTCCAAAGCTTTTCCACAAAATAGTCTCTGCATTTCGAAAATCATACCTAGTTGATATTGATAAAATAGTTCCAGTAGTTCCATGAGTTCAACGATACCTGTTAAATTTCTACAAGTACCTCATAGAACACTTCATACATTCAAGTTTGTTTGCATTCTTTAAGTTGTCTTTACTGAATCAATATATTTCATTCTTGCTCTTGTAAGTAAGACTTGGTTTGTTTAAGAAAAAATAAATAAAGCAGGAAACCCGAGATATTTTTGTTCTTTTTGATGTCCTTAAAACTTTAGTTTTTCAAAGCAGATCAATCTGTAATATATTTTAAATGACTGCCTTTCTGTGCTTGTTTAAGATAGAAACAAAATGTTTCTGTCCTGGGAAACTTAAGAGTGACTTTTTTTCTTTTAACAGACAACTGATTCTTGATGGTCAGTGGGATGAGGTTCTCCAGTTTATTCAGCCTCTTGAATGTATGGAAAAATTCGACAAGAAAAGGTAAAATAGAATGTATGTCAAAGTATTCAAAGTATTGGATATGCAAGCAGTTCATTTATAAGCAGAACTTGTAAAAGTTTAAATTTGTTTTCTATCTTCTTGACACCATTTGGAATTTTTAATATGTATGCTTTTTACATTTTATCTGTGAAAAATTTATACAATGAATCTGTAATCAATTTTCATTTACCATGCATTTAGGAATATGATGTATGTTTTATTGCTTATGAAAACAGAAGTATGACCAAGTAGCTAGTTATTTAAGAACAGAGTATGCTTGCTTTGTATTTTCTCTTATGAGACTTCTGATATAGTTAGTAGTATTTCTGAAAGCAACAATTGAAAAAATCTTTTCTGTTAAGAACACTGCTGTTGCTACTAGTTTGTTAAATTTTGATATTAGGGCTCCTTGTTACTGCAGTTTGTATATCTAACTCAAAACCTAACTGGAAAGTATGCGCTTTTCTGTCCAAGAATATGTGGCTACTGATATGCAGTCTTATATTTTTCACTTCATACTTGCAGATTTCGTTATATTATAATGAAGCAGAAGTTCTTGGAAGCCTTATGCGTAAACAATGCGATGTCAGCAGCAGATGAGCCTCAGCATGTAAGATTTTCTTTGTTTGGGGAATTTCTGGCTGGCCAGAAGCCTCTAAGATACTCTATTGAAAGGCATAATGGAATCTCTCAAGCATTTTGGCTATTACCAGGAAGTTTAGAAAGAATAATTGCTCTGCTTTGGAAATAAATGTCATTTGCAGGTCTCATGTAAAATTGCACATGCAAAATTGTTTAAAACCTAGCAACATAGGCCAGTGGCCATAGGGCATTTTTATGAGCCTGAAATTTGATCCAGCCCGTAATGTTAAAGGAAAGGATCTTTTTTTTTCAGAAGGGTACTGAAGTAAACCTCAGAATTGCACCTGTCATGATCAGGTGCAAATAGAGTTTTCCATGTGAGCTACCATTGAACTTCACATTTCTATCTCTTCAGTTGATAAAGAATGCTGTTTTTTTGTGTCTTTGGAGGGAACGGATATGGTCATAAAGAACTTAGTTAAACGTGCAAACAGCAGGAGCTGTATACTTGGTTTTTGCTGTGGAAAAAGAGTGAATTGTTAACTTGGTCTGCAGCATGAAAAGGCTTACAGATTGTGAGCTGTTTTCTATTTGTGCCCGTAATATGGGAATCCTAAAGTGCTAGTACAAAAGCTTTATGAAAGATGAAACAAACCCCCCGATGTTCTTCAGACAATTTTTTGGTAGTTTGTAAAACCAAATTATAATTTTCTATCCCATTATCCGTGTGTTATATTCTAGGGTTTTCACTTAACAGTATAGAGAAAGCTAATAGTAACCCTTCATTTAAGGTTGTAAGATGAAAGTAGGCTTGTGATCTGATGAGTTCAGCTGTGTGCCAGTCTAGATTGTAGCACAGAAGAATCAGCTGTATATTCTTTTTTTTGTGCTGAACATTGCCAAATATGTTGGCATATTGATCTGATAATGGAAGACAAGCTACTGCATTGTACATATGCTAGGAAATATGGTTGGAATTTTTTTCTTCTTAAGTCTTTAACTGAAAAATATAAATCACATGTTTTTAAAATTGTTCTAGCCTTTTACCTTTCAATAAACTTTCCATTAAAGCCTCTGTTGATTTGGAGGTCTACTCTTGTGAGATGAATTTTAAGAAGTGCTTGAGGAATAGGAAACTTAAATATAAAAGACAGCTCCAAGTTGCTTATGACGAGAAAGTAGAGAAATACGGAGGTCGTCTTAGACAAAAAGTCAAAGTCATCCAGGAATTTGGCTCCGAAACTGCTGACACAAACATTATTCCTGACTCTATAGTGTGTGCTGTTCTATTAAAACACAAACAATAATGCTAATAAGGGAAAAAGTGTGGGGAAATGTTGCTGCTGCTTTTTCTTCAACTAACCTTTACCGTAGGAAAATGCGTGTTCTAAATTAGTCTTAACACTAATATTTCTGCAGCTGGAATTTACAATGCGAGAGGCTGTGCAGTGCCTACACGCACTGGAAGAGTATTGTCCCTCGAAGGAAGACTACAGCAAACTGTGCCTGCTGCTCACGCTGCCCCGCTTGACCAACCACGCGGAGTTCAAGGACTGGAACCCCAGCACCGCCCGCGTTCACTGCTTTGAGGAAGCCTGTGTCATGGTGGCCGAGTTTATCCCTGCCGATAGGAAGCTCAGCGAGGCTGGCTTTAAAGCCAGCAGCAATCGCTTGTTTCAGCTTGTCATGAAGGGGCTGCTCTATGAATGTTGTGTGGAGTTCTGTCAGAGCAAAGCAACAGGAGAAGAAATCACAGAAAGTGAAGTGTTGCTGGGCATTGATCTCCTGTGTGGCAATGGGTGTGATGACCTGGACCTTAGCTTATTATCGTGGTTGCAGAATCTGCCAGCTACTGTTTTTTCTTGTGCTTTTGAACAAAAGATGCTTAATATTCATGTTGACAAACTCCTCAAGCCCGCGAAAGCTGCGTATGCTGATCTTTTGACACCTCTTATCAGCAAACTTTCTCCTTATCCATCTTCCCCGATGAGACGGCCTCAGTCAGCAGATGCCTACATGACCCGCTCCTTAAATCCTGCCTTAGATGGGCTGTCCTGTGGATTAACAAATCATGATAAGCGAATCACGGACCTTGGGACCAAAACTTCTCCAATGTCGCACTCCTTTGCCAATTTTCATTACCCAGGAGTACAGAATCTTAGCCGAAGTCTCATGCTTGAGAATACTGAATGTCACAGTATTTTTGAAGAGTCACCTGAGCGGTAAGTAGCTGGTTTGTTTTTGCATTGTCTTGTCTTAGGTTTTATATTCATGGGTTCTTAGGTGTGCTGTTACTTTGTTGATAAAAACAGAATTTGGCTGTTGAACCTCTGTTGTAGTTAATACTCATTAGACAAGAATGTTCCTTCCCTATGCTTTTAGGATGAAAATTCTTCAGAGTCGGTCCTCAACCTTAAGGATTGCCTCTGGGCTTTCTCACAGAAATTACAGAAATTTGAAATCCTGAGATAAAAATATGCTCTGAAGTATAATTACTGAATTCTTTCATTTCTAATAATTGAGTCCATGAAATAGATTTCCTCCTTTCTTGTTTCATTCTGCCCTCAGTGCTTGAAAAGATCATTTGCATTTTTTTTTGTGTGTGTGTGTTTTTTTAATAAATATAAGTATTAGTTCAGCTTAAACACTGTTTACCAAACAATATCTGTACAAGCCTGATATTTTTATTTTATATATAGGAATTCTAGTTAGTTGAGTTGTGATAATGCTGAATGCTGTGGCTTTGCTTAATACAAGGTGTGCTACAAAACTGGCTTTTTTCCTTCCTTAAGAACTAAAGCCCTTATTCAAACTTGTTCTTTTTAACTTTAAACCTTCTGAGAGAAAGGTTCAGATGACAGGGAGAAAAGAGGTACATGATCATATTTTCGGTTGCCATTTGTTAGTTAGTGGCTCTGCCCCTGTGTAACTGATTTATCCGTGTCTCTTCAGAAAAAAAAAAGTCAGCTTTTTTTGGCTCTTGCCAAAAAAAAGTGGCTCTGGCCACTCTTGCCAGGTGGGCCGCTAGTACTGTGCTTGCATGTGCTGGCTGGCAGATGGGACATCTTTTGAGCTGTGGGGCTTTATTCCGGACAAAACTGGTGACGCTGTTACTTTTACCCTATGACCATGTTCCTTGTGTGTTGAGATTAAGAGCAGTTGTAGATAAACTCAACAAAAAGGGAAACAAACACCACCATATAGATGTCAGTTCATCTATAATAATGGACATTTGTCACTGCTCTGTGTCTTGATTAAAGCATATCTTCAAAGGAGCTATGTTGTTTATGTCTTATTGACTCCTTTTAAATCTTTTTATTTCTTCCACCCCCTTCACAACTGGAGCTAATATTTGTAATAGGTTAGGTTTTACAGAATTACTCCTTGAGTCACATATTTTGTTTTGTTTTTAAAGTACCTCTTGAAAGTATTAATTGTTTATGTGATCATCTGTATATGTAACCCTTAACTTTTCAGCACAGGTACCCAATGTTAAAACTGATTCTTGGAATAAAATATTGTATCTCCTTTCTCAGTTCTAGTATACTGGAAAAAAAAATCTGCAAAACTAAATAGCGTTGTCTTGCGGGCTTATTAAAGAAATTATAAATTGTTGCACTATTTTGCAAACTCTTTGGGCAGTGGCAAGTAATCTTAAGTGTGGCTGATAAATCTTCTTATATTTCTAGATAATTATAAACTTATATGAAAGTTTAAATCAGGTTAAAGGGCTAGACAGTGTTCAAGAAGGCATTACACTTTCAGAAAAAAATCCAACTTCAAGTTGTGCATCCGAAGTCAGTGGTAGTAGTTGCAAGGATAGAAGCTGGAAAGCGGAGCTGTGGGCAAATCTGGGGAGTGGTTCCTATTGCACTTGACAGATATGGTATTCCTGTTAAATTTTATTCAGCAAGTAGTTATTTCAGTCAGTAGTTGTGTATCCTAATTTAGAGAGATACCAAAAAGTTCAAAATAACCTCTTAAAGAGCTTTGCTCCAAGTCACTAAGTAAAGAGGACTTTGTAAGCTGACAAAACTATAGATAGGAGTCCAAGGTTTTCGATGTGTTCTGCACGTTTACTGCCTGTGAAAGCAATTTTGGAAAAGATTCATGTGGAAATACTTCTTTCACAATTCATTATACAAGAATAGCAAACAGATTTGAATTTTATTCTATGTAGTATTTTATGCACATAACTTTCTCAAATATAGGACTGCTTGAATAATTTCTTTGTATGAAGATATATATTTCAAGAATAAACGTATAAAACAGGAATTTAGATATCTAACAATAAGACTTTCTGGAAAGCATGAGGACAAAGCATGCCAACTGTTTTCAAATGTTATCCATTACAAGTATTTTCTTAAGACTGTTTAACTTTGTTACGTAAGTGCTGTGCACACTTCTGTAACCAAAATTTTCTCAAGAATGTTATCTTTCTCTATATATCAGGCATCTTAATTTTTTTCTGGTGCAAACTTGTTTTGTTTTCCATGTTACTGCAAGCAGTGATACTCCTGTGGAGCCACAGAATCCCATCAGCAGTGAGACTTTGTGCCAGAGCTCAGTTCCAGAAAATGAACCAGTTAATGGAGCACAGACTCAAGCATCAGCCAAACAAGAGAAAAATGAGGTAGTGGTTATTTAGTTAAAAATAATGAGGCCTTTTGAGCTGCTCTGTTCCAAATGCATTTCATAACTAGTGTCTTTTGTGTTGAGAATTCCGTGCACAACAATGGGATACTTTGAATCTCTCTCTTTTTCTCTAATGAAAATATCTTATGTTTTTTGTAAGAAGCTACTCTTTTTATTAGGTGAATTTCTGCTGTCATTTGACTTTACAACACAGCTGGTGAGTGTATCTTCTCACATCAGCAATGTAAATGAGCTATTGTATACGCTAATAAAATGATCTGCAGTTCTCAAAGCTAGCAATGTTAGATTAAACATTGCTTAAGACTATTGAAGCGTTTAATGTTTTAATGAGGAATTCAGCATCTAGCCAGCTGCTTTGGTGTTAACAGAAAGTTTCAAAGCCCTTCTGACATAATTCTTGTCTAGAAAACTGAGAAATGAAAATAAAGTAATTCCCTAGTTAAATATATCTTTCTTGTTCAGAATACAATAGCGAAAACAGTTCTCAGATTCTTATTTGAAAGAAGAGTCCAATTGTATTGTGTGTGTTTCCTCCCTCTCTGTGCTGGTAGACTTTTGGAAAGTGATATTAAAGCTTGAAAACGTAATGCCTTGGCCAGTCTGGCATGAATGAGTCAGAGTTTCTAAAGGCAACGGATGATCACAGAGGAGGTTTGTGGCCCTTGTGCCGTGCCGTTCCCCTGAACAGCAGTATATAGGGCAAGTGAAATAACAGTTCAGTAGGAAGTAATGAAAACAGATACTTACTCGGTTCCCTTTCCGCATCTTTAAATGTCTGCTGCTTAATTTGGTAATGCTGAATTACGTTGTTATCTGGGTATTTGTGCTAAATATTTCGGTGGTGAAATAGCATATGTGGTTTGTTTGGTTTGCAAACTCCAGCTCGTGATTTGTTTTTTTTTCTTAAGTAAACTTTGTCTTGGCTTATGACTTCGATTTAGTGCTGAAAACCAGTCCAGTCTTGACAGAGCTCTTCTCTTGCAGACCCTAGATACTCACATGGGGCAATGGGGCATTTTGGAGGATTAATATAAGGGGAGTCAAGGACTTTGCTGAGGCACTCTGTTACTGCAGTGCTGTGTACGTGGATTGGGAGTAAGGAAGAGAGGACCAAGCTTGAGCTGTTCCTGGGACAGAACAGGCTTCAAAAGGTTGAAAACTGGAGGCAAAATTTATGGGGTGAATGAAGAAGACAATGTGCCATGGCTGCTTACACAAGTAGGAAAGAATATACTCCCCATTCCAGCTTCATTCTGTTTCACTTTCACATCTTGATGGTGTAGCTGTATGGTTGTGTTACATTGTATAACTATTTCCACACTTTCCCTGGGGAGATGAGTTTAGAAGCCAGAATTGTTACAGAATAGAGTACTGGGATTGGAGCATTGGGAACAGAGTCTGTATTTAGCTGTTGGGATCTATAAAAGAGTGTACCCAATTATGCTTAATGGTCAGTGATCTCAGTAGAGCATTGCCATTACCAAGACTAAAGGATCTGAGCACTGGAACCAATTGCAAGAAACAATGTCCCTGATAGGAAGAGGGATAGGCTGGAATATAGCAGTTGTTGATAGGAGCATAACCTGATGATTGTGGAATAGGTTACGTCCTTGAAAGATTCAGAACGTGTCCTGGACTTCCAAAGATAATTTCAAAGGTTTTACAATGCAAAATTCTACTTGAGAAACCAAAGGAATAGCCTCTTACAAATGCAACTGCATTATTAATGTTTTAAAAAATTTTAGTGTCAAGGAATCCTAAATCATAGGTGAATCAAATCATTTAAGTGTTTTTATTTAGAAGATTGCCAAGTGCCAAGGCTAACAGTTAGGAAGAAAGATCCTGCCTGTGAAATGTGTGGCCTAATACAGAGAGGACGCTTTTCTTATCATTACGTTCCAATCTCCTATTTTCTTTTCTTCTGATGTTCTGTAATACTCCAGAAGATTTCTTGGCAAAAAGAGCCTCCTCTTCAATTAGGCACAAAGGCCAGAGTGCTTTAGCAATGAATAACAATCTGGGATTGATTTCCTTTTCTTAAAATGTAAATTGTAACTGATTTTAAGAAAAAATAAAAGCATTCTTCGTCAATGAAGAGTGCTGGGCTTCTGATTCTCGTATTAAAATAGCGAACCACAGGATGAGTATTTAGGTTAAACACTCTCTAACCTAGATAATTTTCATCTCTCTTAAGCTTCGTGATTCAACAGAGCAGTTTCAGGAATATTATAGACAAAGACTACGTTACCAGCAGCACTTAGAACAGAAAGAGCAACAGCGACAGTTATACCAGCAAATGTTGTTGGAAGGAGGTGTAAACCAAGAAGATGGAGCTGACCAGCAGCAGAACCTTACTGAACAGTTTCTTAACAGGTTGGGGGGTTTTGTTGCTTCTCCTTCCACCCAGTCCCATCCTTCTTCAGGTTCTCCTGTTAATTGTTGGTCTTCTGTTGTCCTTAGGTCTATTCAGAAGCTAGGAGAATTAAATATAGGTATGGACACTCTTGGAAGCGACGTGCAGGCGCTTAGCCAGCAATGTAACGGGAGCAAAGGGAATGTCCCCACCAACCCAGCAAGTAACTTTACATCCCTGCCCTCGGATGCTGCGCAGAGGGTAACAGCCGACGGGCAAAATGTGAACACGAGCACCCCCCGAAAGCGCGGGTCAGCTAACCAGATACCCTTTCCTGAAGAGTCACCCGTGCAAGGGAACCAAATGTAAGTTGTTGGAACCTGTTTACGACTGGAAGGCCAGCACTGTGGGGGTAGCTGTTTGGAGTTATTTGTAGTTACCAAATAAATTTGTCGTTGTGATTATTACCTGGGCGACAATGATTATGAGCTATTTTTACATCAATTAAAAACGCTTTTTTGATAGTACTAGTAAGAGAGCAGCTAAATAAGCATGCAACTTTAACCATAATTATTTTTATTTCAATCCTCTTATTTCAACTTGCTCAGTTTTTATATTGTGTTCTCCTAAATTCCTAAAAGCCTCTTATATCTCATTAAATAAATGAGGTGAGGGGTAGGACGGAGTCGGTAACTAAATTTCTATATATTTTATCTAAAGCTATTGCCAACCTGAAAGAAAGAACCATATTTTTTCTATAACAAAAGTGTATTTGTGTGTATATAGATATAGTATATGGATATACATATACCATATGTATACATATAGTATATATACATATATGTGTATATATGTGGGTATATATATATGCACACACATTTATCTATATATAAATTATTCTGTTTATTTAATTTGTTAAAATATTTTTCTGGTAAAGAATGAAACATCTGTAACACTTGTCCATGTAAATTAGTATAACTTAAATTGTAAGTTTAGTCCAAAAATACTCTCATAAGCATATCTACCTTATCTTTTTCTATCTTGTTTTGAATTTAAACTTTCCACCAAATCAAAACAGTGTACCGGATCATTCTGTCACTCAGCCACAGCTGGACGATCCTTCAGCGAATCTATCTAGGACAAGAGGCGATGAGGTGAGATTTCTCCATGTCGCTCGCAGTATGTGTTCTCAGCAGGTTCAAACATGTGCCATCCTTTCAGCGTTAATGGACATTCCAGAGAATTTTGGGTGCTTTGGCATTAGAATCATAGGAAGGGGCCTCTGTGTGCTCAGGCCAAAATCCCTGCTGATGAGCAGGAGAAGAATCAGCTGCAGCAAGTACCTCAGGGCAGTGTCAAATTGGGTTTTGAGTCTCTCTTTCATCTTATTGGGGCCCTTGGCTAGGGCTTCTTCTAGTGTATCCATGTCTCTGTTGCACTGGCAAGCCTGGCATTGACCACAATACCCTAGAGGTCCAACTTCAGGGAAAAAAAATACACTCAAATTGTCTAAGCATTTTTTATATCTCTCATGTTCACCTTAGATAAAGCTTTTTTGATTACAGTTTTTATTCCTTTGACTATGTTTTTGCCATTTCTGTCTTCTGAATCTGCCCCTCAGTGCTATTAGACTGTTTAATCGTTAATTTAATCAAGTAGAATTTTCTTTTTTTAAGTTAAATTAATCAGTAAATACTTGTGCAGCTAATAGTACTTTGGTTTGTGAATGATCTGGGATCTACAGAATGGTATAAGCCATTTATCAATAACCAAATCTTATTTATTTGCTACTGCTCTGCTTTGATGCAGATAACTGGCCAGTTTTATACTGGAAAAGATGATTCAAGTGTTGTGCTTTTTTTTTGCAGGATGACAAATCAAAAAAGCAGTTCATTTGCATTAATACTCTAGAAGACACGCAAGCTGTCAGAGCTGTAGCCTTTCATCCCAGCGGGAGTTTGTATGCCGTTGGCTCCAATTCCAAAACTCTGAGAGTATGTGCCTACCCAGAACTCATTGACCCAAGGTAAGAAAGCTCGAATGGTCACTTGTTTTCCTGTGTTTCACACTTTGATTTCTGGTGTCACACATGCACAGCACAATGCTTTCTTTAGAAACATCAATTATCCAAAAAATAAAATAAAATGGAGCTGCTGAAGACTGTCTGCTTTGTTTGTGCTCTCTTCCTCTACTGCCCAGGTGCCTTGCCTTTCTTTGTATCCCACTTTTCCTTCTGTCAAAGCTTACTTCTCTATTACTTTTGTCAAAAATAGATTAAAAAAATTTTAAAAAGCCATCAGATGGCTTTTTTTGTATATAGTGTGCTTTTGCATTTCCTGTTGCAAAACTGAGGGAAGAAAGCCTGTGTGAGTCGCTAGACGAGCACAAATTGTGCTCTGAGCTGCAGTTTCTGGCAGAAGGACAGACTTGATAGTAGAGAGAGTTTGAGCTGCTACAGTAAGAATCTGCCAGCTGCTATTGCTGATGCTGTAAATACTATTTCCCTGATGCTTTCATCTCTTCAGAAGAAAAAGGGCTATGGCTTATTATGCATCTAATGGTTTTGTTTCACCTATTTTTTTTTTCTAGGAGAGGGAGAAGAATTCCTTTCTCCCCTCCCCACTTCACACACATACAGCTTGGAAGAAAATATTGCCTTGTCAATAATCATCTCCTAGTTTCTGCTCCAGTTATCTTATTTCCTTTGGGTTACTGCGGAACGCAGCATCTAGAACTTTAGAAATTCAGAAGGACTTAGAAGTGTGCCAGTTAACCAGTACTGGCATCCTTGCTTCTTCCACTTAAGAAATGGGATGGACAATCCTCATTTCTCTACAATCGCATCTCTTCTCAGTGCAGAGTATTACTTCATGTAACAGAAAAGAATATACTTTCATTTTAAACTACATAATTTTCCTTAGAAATAAAAAGGAAAGTCCTATAATTTTTCCCTTGTTTTCTTTTTGCAGTGCTTATAATACTCCTAAACAACCAGTAGTTCGTTTCAAAAGGAACAAGCATCATAAAGGATCAATTTACTGTGTGGCCTGGAGTCCCTGTGGACAGTTGTTGGCTACTGGTTCTAATGATAAATATGTGAAAGTACTGCCTTTTAATGCAGAAACTTGTAATGCAACAGGTAGTGTGTGTATATCTTTAGTTTAAAGAATGCTTTTGAAAATATTTATGTAATTAGCTGAGAACATTCAAAATATGTTGACTTTCTTTTGGTAGATTTCCTATAGAAGAGGAAACAACTGCATGTTTTACCTGATTCTCAGTTGTCAGCAGCAGTTTATTTTCACTTCCGTTTCCCATTTTTCAGACCATCATCTTCTCTTCCATCTTAGAAATCTAAGGCTCCTTATCCCAGAAATGCTACTTTCTAGTCCTAGCCCTTGTAAACGATACCTCAGTATGGCTCCTAGCTTTTCTGGTTTGGACTTGGTCTGTCTCACCCTGTGCATTTCAGTGTTCTCAATGTCCCTTGCCTCATGGCAGAGAAAGGCTTTCAGTTCTGATGATTTACCATCAATTCTATATCTCAGCTGGAACTGGCTGCAGAGATGGTCTGTATATATTTGCACAGCATTAGGAATTATAGGAAGCTCAAGCATGCTCAGTGAAAGTAAAATTTGAAAAGATTTTTATTTGCTGTCTAGCAACTGAAATGATGTCTTTTAAGGGCATCATAAGGACATCATAGTCATCACTTTTAAAGCAGTGTATGCCTACCTTTGTCTATGATATTCTGCATTATTACAGTAACAGCTTTAAAGATTGTAGTGCTAATTGTGCTAAACAAGGTATGCCTTTTTAATAACTTTTTAAAATTCTTTTTTATTATTATTTTAGGACCAGATTTGGAATTCAGCATGCATGATGGGACAATCAGAGATCTTGCTTTTATGGAGGGTCCAGAAAGTGGTGGTGCTATTTTAATAAGTGCTGGTGCTGGGGACTGTAATATTTACACAACAGATTGTCAGCGAGGACAAGGTCTGCACGCTCTAAGTGGTCATACTGGTATGTATGTTATTGCTGTCTGCCTCACTTAAGTGCATGTTATGTTTGAACAAGGTTTGTTATGAAAATGTCATATTTGTCTGTCCTGTTGGACTTGTTTTCCTCCCCAAACTGTTACTGAGTTGTTGATATTTTTCATTTTGATATATGGGCCATTAATTCAATGGAGAGATTCCATGCTTCATTCCAGAGAAAATATGAAGCAGAGTATTCTCTTATACTGTTGGTGTTTTGAACTGCACAATATACAGTACAGTTCATATGACTCGTCTGCCAAAGTGCACAAATTATCAGAATAATATTTTTTGAATAATGATCTTCAATCAAATACAGAAGTCTCTTTGTTTACAGGTCATATTTTAGCACTTTATACATGGAGTGGTTGGATGATTGCATCCGGATCCCAAGACAAGACTGTAAGATTCTGGGATCTGAGAGTGCCAAGCTGTGTTCGTGTTGTGGGAACAACTTTTCATGGAACAGGTAAGACTGTTGCAATCGTGCTATTGATAGTTCTTGCATAGAAGTATATTCTAAAGATGTCTTAAGTACTATATTGTGAAGAGTTGACTTTAAAAAGAAAAAGAATGGTGATGCCTTCATTTTATCCTTGAAAAACTATTTGCTTTAAAAAGATGATGATTTCTTTACCTTGTGCCTGTAAAATAGACAGTTTCAAGTACATAGAAATAAAAGCAGCTACCAAATAGCAGTTTCAAAAGGGAAACTGAAAGGGAATGGGGAGAAGTTGTAGATACTAAAGTCATCAGCATCCTCTGTGGAAGTCTGCAGGGATTCTCAAGAACTACCTGATTATGTTTCTTGAAACAGTGTGTTGTATTTGAAACGTTTTTGACAATAAACTCAAATTATGTAGGAAAAAAACTCCCTTGAATGAATTTGGGTTGTTTTACATTCTTTCTTTCCTGAGATGAAATGGACCTTTTTCTTTGTGCCATGTTTAGAGTGGCTTTGCTACCACTGCAGCACAGGGGCCTCAGCATGGCTTCTTGTGGCTTCAGAGTGCTAGCACACAAAGATTAAGATAACAGTACTTAGGTACCTATACCATAAGCTTAAGGTCAACAACGTATGTTCCTGTGTAATGTGTATTCTTGTTTAAAAGAATGTGGGCTATGCACATAAATTCAACCTTGTGATTTGATTTTTCCTTCTCAAGGAAGTGCCGTAGCCTCGGTAGCCGTCGATCCCAGCGGTCGCCTCCTGGCTACGGGACAAGAGGATTCCAGCTGCATGTTGTACGACATCCGCGGAGGGCGGATGGTGCAGAGCTATCATCCACATTCCAGCGACGTTCGTTCCGTTCGCTTCTCCCCGGGGGCTCACTACTTGCTCACAGGATCCTATGATATGAAAATAAAGGTGACAGACTTGCAAGGTAACGTACCTAAAGATAGGAGGTGGTTGTTCCTTTTGATGGCCTTAATATGGAAGCTGTAAGAGAATTGGCATCAGTGCTTAGTTTTTGTTTAAAAAAAAAAAAAAAAAAAAAAAAAACCTAGTAGAGCTTAAGAGATTTGAAATGTACATAGATGTGATTTTAGTGAGTTAACAATTAACCAGTTGCACTGCTAAGAATGTAAGTTATTGACTAAACTGTTAGGGAAGGAGTCTGATTATAGTCAAAGAACTGTATTTGATGCTCTTGACTGCTAATTCTGCCTTTGCTTTAAGGCAGAATTTACACAATTGACTATATATTTTTTATATATATATACACGTATATGTGTGTGTGTATATATGTGTGTGTATATATATAAAGTGTATATATAAAGTATAAATATATATACTATATATATAAATAGTGTCTACTTAATCTAAAAGCCAGAACATCAAGGCCTTGTGCTATGCAATGCAATCCTGTGAGGATAAGAGTGTGGGTCAGTATATGCTGAATTCTGGAAAAATACAGTTTAAGGCTGAACCAAACTTTCTTTCAACAGTAGTAGAGTTAACCCCTTAAGTTATGATCTCTGAGGTCAGGTACACTTCCTAAAGTGAAATGCATATACAATTTTTCCTAAATGACCAAAAGAGAATTAGGATGTGTATTCACAAAACGTGTAACTATTTTCTGTTCCTCTGCTACAGGGGACCTTACGAAGCAACTTCCTCTTATGGTGGTAGGGGAGCACAAGGACAAAGTTATTCAGTGCAGATGGCACACACAAGACCTTTCCTTCTTGTCGTCTTCTGCGGACAGAACTGTAACTCTCTGGACCTACAACGGTTAGAGTGCAAATACAGGCAACCTATGCAGCTAAAGCACAGAGACATGAGACTACAGACCTGTTTAAAAAAAAAAAAAAAGTAATAAAAGTAACAATTAGGCTTTCAGAGAGCAGCAGTTGACAGGAGAGTGTCTTGCCAAGAGGAGAGGCACTTGTCACAGGTTTTTCTGATTTCTAGGAGGTCTTGGTGTTTTTAGTATATTCTTTTTGCAGTGCTTTCAGTCTTCCATGTGAACTCATGCTGCTGTGACCTATTGTAGTCTTGTTGCCAAAGTCTGAGAAGAACTCTTATGTTGTCGATGTGCACTCCAAGTACCATGAATGACGTGTTTACAGTTTGGTATTAATTGCATTCCTTGGTCTTTGCTTCGATGACAGTTTTATAGAGAAAGTTGAATGACACTTTAATCAAGTCAGTATGTAATTAGTTCCACATACACATACAAGATAACAGTTACTTCTGCTGTTTTTTTCACTTTTATTATACTCGACACTTCTCAAAAGATGCAAGTTTATTATGTCCCTACCATGTCAACTTTTTTTGGTAATAAATTCTGAACTTTAAAAGTGACTAGGCAGTAACCACATCTTAATTATGGTCCATTATATAGTGTGACTTTTTCTTTCTGTCTAAATGGGGGGGAAATGTTGCTCTACTTACATGACATTGTTTTCAACCAGCTAACGTGTTGGAGGGGAGGGGAAAAAGTAAAATACTGGTTTTGCTGTAGAAACATGTTATTTTACTTTTTGAATGCAACGGAATACCTCTGTGTATAATGTACTGTAGAAAAGAGTGGATTGGCAGCAGTTGTCACAGTGAGCTTAGTGGCTATCAGTTCTCAAATAAAAGGGATACCGTTAACACTATATTACAAACCAGCATGGCTTAAAATGCTATGTCTGCATGATAATTTATAATAATTAAGTCATTTAAATTCCCAGTCAAGAAGCTTATTTTAATTTTATTTCTTGCACTGTTTATGTTTAAGAAATTGCAGTTTTATTTCTATAAAACTTTAGATTCTAATGTTTATGTATTGTTATATTTTCATATTGTACAGTTCCTTTTACTTTTTAAACTTAAACCTTAAACACTACGTTATTTATTTATTTGACTTGCGGTTAAGTTTTTGGATTCTCTTGATTTAATAAATTATGTGCACCATAGCAAGCATTTTTAACTATTGTATAAAAGTGGAAAGGTAACTATAGAAGTGTATCTGTGTTAAAATCTCAATAAAGACCTCCAGCACCTGCACCTCTTTTGACCTGTTATTTCAGAATCTTGTTTTATAATTCCTCAGTGCGGGTCTGATGCTTTAAACTGTGTGTGTGTGTGTGTGTGTGTGTGTGTGTGTGTGTGTGTGTGTGTCTATTATATAAATGTCTCACTCATATGCCTAGAAAGGTGAGGTTTTATATCATTGATAGCAAGTTTTTGTTTTCTCTTTTTGGGGAGTTATTTTGGTTGGTTGACTTTGTTATTTTAATGCCAAGTTTTTGCAGAGCTGCTGCAGTGTAATATTGCAAAGCACTTCCTTTTTTTTTTTTTTTTTTTTTTTTTTTTTTTTTTTTTTTTTTTTTTTTTTTTTTTTTTGAATGAACAGGTAAGGGGGTAGGGTCTTAATGCTGCTGTGTAGGAAAACTTGGCTGCTTTTGTGTAAAAACTAACCCTTTATAATTCAGTTTATCGCATCCAGGCTCGGGATCCCGTTCTGCCGCTCTTCCTGTTCAGTGGTTGCTGCGTTCCCCCGGCCTGGCGTTCAGCGCTGAAGGAGCAGAAGGAAAGGGAAGTAGCTGGTGCTAGGGGCGAGCTCCGTGAGCCTGGCAGGGGCCGCGGAGGCCGCGGTGAGAGTCGCTGCCCTTTTCCTCAGAGCCGCCGTGCCCGCGGGCAGGCGAAGCGCCTGCGGCCGCCATGGCCGGGGCGCGGTGGGCGGGGCGCTGCTCGCGCGGCCGCGTTTGCCCCGCTCCCCTCCCGCGATTAAAGGTGTTTGCAAGGGGCCGGTAGCCGCATCCCAGCCGGCGCGAGGGCCCGCGCGGTGCCCCNGGGCCGCGGGGCCCCGCACGCGCGAGCGAGCGGCCGTTGGCGGCGGGCGGGGCGGCCGTTAGCAGAGGGCGGAGCGACCGTTGGCGACCGTTGGCGAGGGGCGGGGCGGCCGCTGAGAGCTGAGGCGCGGCCGGGCGCTTCATGGCCGCCCTGCCCGGCGCGCCCCGTGGCAGAGGGCGGCCGGGAGGGCCGCGTGTCGCCCGGGTCGCGGCGCGAGGCCGCGAGCGGATGGAGATGGACGCGTCCCGCCGCGTTGGAGCGGTGCGGGCGGCGCCGCTGCGGAGCCGCTGAGCCCGCGCCGCGGGACGCTGTTTCTGAGCGGCGCAGGTAAACGCGGTGTCGCGTGGGCGCAGCTGGGCGCCGAGGATGCTGCTGGGCGCGCTGCTGTGCGCGGCCCTGCTGCTGGGCGGCGGCGCCGGGCACGACGACGAGTGGATCGACCCCACCGACATGCTCAACTACGATGCGGCCTCGGGAACCATGAGGAGGCCTTACAAGGTGCGCAGCTTTCCTCCGCCTGCCAAACCCCGCCGAGGCACAGCTCTTAAAACGGGGGAGTCGGAAAATGTCTGAATTATGCACTTTTAATCTTAGAGCTTCTCTGTGTTTCTTGATTAGGATGCAATTTCATAAGAGAATGGCTTTGGTTAAAAACTGCAAGAAAAAATAGCCTTCTTGCCCTGTGCCTTTCAAACCACTAGCTTGTTAGCAAAATGTTATTTGTTAGGCTATGCCTGCTTAATGTAGATGTAATGTAGATGGATGTGGACTAAATGAAGCAAGGAACTGCAGGAAGAAGAAGTTGCCTTAACGGTGATCTGTGTTATTGCAGGTGACTAGTTTAGTGCTTGTTTACTGTTAGATTTCTGTTGCACACCTGTAAATCAGAGGAACCCTCCTTTTTAGCTTTCTGTGAGTGCTTGTTGACTGGTTGTGGCTACACTTACTCTCCGTGAAGCACAATGTGGTGTTAAACACCTCTCACCCCCAAATGTAGCACTACATGCTTTGAAAGGTAAATTTCCAGCTGATAAAGGCTGGGCTGTTCAAGCTATGGGCTACCTGTGACTTCCTCTGTCCAGTTGCCCAGCAATACAGATGAACCCGGGGGATGGTGGAGGGAGCCCTGTGGAAGTACGTGGCATGTGTGAGTGCTGATAAGGAGCCGCAGGGCATCGGTGTTTATCAGGGACGTGCAGGGGAGGGTTTGGACTCCGTGCTCCAGAACGCGCAAACATTGGGCAGAATGTGAAATACTTAAAGTAGTTTTAACAAAGTTAATCAGTTGTCTCATATGAAGGGTGAACTGCCTGATGCATATAYGTGTGTATGTGTGTGTGTGTGTGTGTATATATATATATAAAAATGAGATACTGCTTACATTAAAGTATATGCTAGCGTATAGCACTATGAACTGTTGCTGTATTGGTATTTTTCAGCTTTCTAGTTTTGTTTATGCAGTATTGAGGAATAAAATTTAATTAACACATTTTAGAACCTAATTATCTGGAGCTTAAAGAAAAGGTTTCATCTCCCCCCTGAGCTCAGGAGCTTGCAGTAACAAGGTGTCAGCACCCTATGGATGCCTTTGTGTTTCGCCTGTAAGTAATGTAGCATAGTCAGAACTGTAATCGGACAGCCAATAGCCAGACTTACTGAAGGAGGGCTTTCAGCCCTGCATACATACCTTGAGGATTTTTTTTTTTTTTTTTTTTGACAGCTGACATCTTTGTCAGATCTGCTTTTATTAGAACTTTTAGCATGGGTTTATTGCTTCCTGAGAAGCTGCATGTTCCTGGAGAGGAACCCCAAACCCATGGGATGCCCCAAAAACACGGCAGAGCTCCTTGCGGCAGAGAAAAGAGGAGGTGGTGTGTGAGGAGGAAACATGAAAGGAAAGGCAGGCAGCCAAGGACTGCTTCAGTGTTTGCTTTCAGTCTGGGTGGCTCTGTGGTCAGCTGCTTGTTGGGGAATCTCCTCTGGTGAAAACCAGCTGCTTACTTGCTGAGTGTTGTCAGCTGTGCCCTTATCTCACTGATGGCTGTGCTCATGGAGGGGCAGGAGCAGCCTGGGAAGGAAATGAGAGCCTGTTTGGAGGTAGCAGAGGTGTTTAGATGAGCTTAAGGGAGTTATCAGTCTGGAGCCTAAAATAACAACAGAGAGCCAATCTTAGGGTGAATATTAGCAAAAAGACCAGCACTCAGTTTTTAGCTCCTTTTAAAGTTCCATGGCTATAAATGTATGACTGGATATATTGTATTGATCATGTTCTTATGTGCAATTTCATTATAAAAACGTATTTCTCTTGCACAATGTAGGCCAGCTATCGCGACTCTGAGGATAACACTTTGGATGCAGTCAGCAAGGAGAGCTTGGCAAGTTGCTCCAGGGAGGTGGATGCCTTGCGACAAAAGGTCTGTGGTGGAACTTGAGAGGATTTTCCTGCCTTTTTTTGTGGTTGATGCTGTCTGATGACACAGAGGAGCTGGATTGCAGGGATATTTTTCACAGAAGGGGAGACTGCAACGGGTTTAACTCAATTCCTCCTTCCTGGTAGCTCTGGCAAGTTCACTTGCCTGTAGCACTGTGATGCTAAAGCAGAATTCGTGGTCAGTTTAAACATGTTATGTTTCTGCAGCATGTAAAGCTAAGAAAAGGGATCTCCCATTTAAACTGTTAAAATCTAATAGATTTTGAAGGGGTGGCTGAGAGTATAAAGTGTGTGTTTGTGGCAGGACTGTAAGGCAAAGCCCCGGGGAAGTGACACAAGCAGCTGTTAAGAGCCAACATTGACACTTCACCTGAGGCCGGGAGGATGCGATTCTGCTGGTGTCGCTGTCGCAGCCTCCACTGCCTTCAGCCTTTGGGACACCAAGCGTGGGATCTGATTTTAATGTCAGTTTTCATTACTTAGGTGTGTGATTGTGGTTGGTTGCTTGGTTGGTTTGCTTTTCTGATGTAAGCTTCAAATTTAAGAAGACCATATCTTTAATTCTTTTACTGCTACTGAAGTTGGTACTTAGTTTCATTTACGGATCTGAAATCTTCCTCGGTGTCCAGGCCCATGGAAAGTAATACAAACACAGGAAAATGTAGTCTTTAGCAGCTATGTGTTTTTGTTTGTGTTTGCTTTCTGTCCTAGTCTCAGGATAATTGTTAAGCACAAAAGTGCTTTTCTGGTAATCATTAGTTAAATGTGTTGGGATTTTTTTTTTCTCTTTTAAAAAGGCTGATTCGAGCAACAAGTGATTAAAGTACAATGTCTTTACTTTGCAGATAGAAGAATGTGAGAAGAGGAGCACCATGTCCCACGAAAGCCGTAGCTTCTATATTTTTAAGCGATACTTGAATAAGATTTTAAATGAGGCTGGAAAACTTGGTCTTGTAAGTATTTGAAGACTGATTTAAATTAAATTGGAAGTCAAATTACTATTTATGTATTTTTGACTGTTATCAAGTATTGATTATTTTGACTTATTTTCAATTTAAAGGAATATAACTGAATTGTAAAGAAAAAAGATAGAAGCATGTGCCTCCATCTTTGATGAGTGTTAAATTTATAATAGCCAGATTTCTGTTCTGTTTTAGATTTTTCACTAGTCCAGGGATAGTAGCTTTCTGCAGTTTGCATTAGGAGAATCACCTAATTCATTCTAATGTCTAGTATATAGTTAGAGCTGTAGTGCATTCTGTTATCATGGCCCTTATCCCACAGTCTGTCACAAAAAGATGCTGGTACACAGTGATGGTATCAAATTAAGTTGCTGGCTGGAGATAAAAAAAAAATTCTAACTTACATCCATTTCCAAATAGGCAGCCTAAGCATTGTTTTGTTTGGCTTTATTCCAGCCTGAGGAGGATCGTGTGCATTACGATGCTGAGATCATCCTTACCAAGCAAACGTACTTGGAGATCCTCAGGTTCCTCCATGAAGATACGTGGCAGTCGGGCGCTGTGGATGATGCCCTTAGTGACATTTTGATTAACTTCAAGCACCATGATTATCAAGCTTGGCACTGGAGATTTGAAGACACTTTTGGAATTGATCCACATAATATGCTTATGGTAAGAGGAGGAGAGAGGTGGTTTATTTTAGTGTTAAAGATTATTCTTTAACATGGACATGAACACTACTGTCCTTTCACCCCCCACCTCACTCGATTGTGCGGAAATCGAATGATTTAAATTCTATAATTTTTAAGTTTGATAGATGTGTCAAATATAATAATTAAATATAATAAAGAAGTGAGCATTTGTAACATAAACTCCTGATAGGAATAACACTGATAGTAACTCTAAAGCTTTGCTGCTTTTTTTTTTTTTTTTAATATTGTAGCAGATAGGCTATAAAAACAAGAAAAAAAGTCTTGCAACTGTTTCATGTAAGTGAAGCTAGTAAAAGTAAAAACTGGAAATTTCTTTATGTATCTTGGCAGTATGCCTGGAAAATTCCAAATCTGAATCATTTGTTTTTTTCCTGCTCTCTTTTTCAGATCCTCTTGTGCTTAGTATGCGTTGTAGTTATCATAGCTACAGAGCTGTGGACACATATTCACTGGTTTACTCAGCTAAAACGTGTTTTATTAATCAGCTTTCTGATCAGTTTTGCATGGAATTGGCTTTACTTGTATAAGGTAAGTTTAGAAATTCTCAATGTTTTAGGTTAACGATTTTATAGTTACCAGAGATTTAGGGGGGGTTCTTTTAGTTTATTTAAGAATATGATTGATTGCAAAGTAAATAAAGGGATGAAAGTTTTACTTTGCGTGTTGACAGGTTTATTAGGTTTAAAAAACAACAAAACAAGTGCTGCCAACTTCTGCCACGCTGCAGAGGTGCTACAACTTGCTGCGGAAGCGTAAACTCTAAGCTTGTTGGGACAGTCCTCTGGAAAACAGTATGTTTGTTGTTGGCTTTGTTTGTTTCTTCAAAGATTGGCTAGCTGAAATTGTATTTAATGGGTGACGCACCAGACAGAAATGCTCTATTAATAGTCATAAAGTAACTGAGTGTAGAGCAGTATTTGAGTTAATGAGGAGGAATTTATCCCTCCGGGCCATAGCCCAGACATGGAAGTTAAGAATCCTGCAGAACGCCCCAATACTGGATTTGTTTTAACAGGCCAGTAATTGTGGCGTGGCAGAGTTAAGATGGCCCTTGATCGAGTGGGCTGCTCTGGGAAGAACTTAATGTTGGATATTAAAAAGCTGAGGATTTGACTGGAAAAAAAAAAATCTTTGCTATTATCAGTTGTAGGGCAAAATTATGAGTACAGGTGTGTATTTATATTAAGAGGAATTATTTTAAAAAATGGAGAAAAATGCCTCAATGTTCTAATTAGTAATTTCATGATAGCAGTCTATCTTTTCTCACTTCCCCATTGAATCCAAACATATTTAAAGAAACTTGTTAGCAACTTCTTTTTTGTCATGCATTTTTATCTTTGATATCCAGCAGTTGGTGTTATTTGAAGAAAACTGCTTTCCTCCAAGTCAGAAACTTCATACTGTTTGGCAAATGGTGATCTGCCTTTCCAGATTTGTAATCTGCTGGATGGCAGCACTATCTTTATTTCTTACGTGTAATTCTGATTCTTCTGCAGCTGGCCTTTGCACAACATCAAGCAGAAATTGCCAAAATGGGGCAGTTTGATAATGTGTGTGCTGAGAAGGTGGACTGGAGTGGAAGTCTCATTGGTAAATATTTGTTCTATTTGTTCCATTTGGTTGTTCTGTGATAGTTATAAAGACCACAAAACATTCAGAAGTAGCCAAGCTAGTAGGAAGAGTCTGTAAATAATTTCTTTGTGGGTACTAAGTGTGTTGAATCACCTTCTTAAGCCATATGTGAATATGTGGTTAAATCCTGGTTCCAGCCACAGGGCTTTGCTTCCCAGGCCTGACAAGGGGCACGTGTGGGCCACGCTGCCGGCTAGCGCGTGTCCTGGGGTTAGTGCTGAGCGCTAACGCTCCACACGCTGCCCGCTCTCATCGCACGGGTGCCCCCTGCTCCCCTCTGGTACCGCTCAGTGCGCAGTTTATTCAAGAGTGGGCAATTCAAGAAGATTTCCTCATCTTCCATGCATATGTATTTTGTATTCATGTGGATACAGAAACGTGTTCAGTAGCTATTCATCCAGTTCTGTTGTTTTATGGACACGGGTGAATATTTTTTGTTAGGCAATTGCGTTTCATATTGGAAAGATGAATGGTTGCAGCTCTTAATGAATGCCTGTTGCATCTTTCCCCTGGAGCGTCTTGGTTATGATGGGTGTGTTTTGTCAAGTTTCAAGTTTGACTCCATGAAAGTCAGACTGCAGTTAAGTCACAAATTATTTGTTCATAGCTTAATTCTATTATGTTCCATCTGTAATTGAAATGTTATTTTCTATCTTGCTCCCGCATTGTAAAATCTGACAAGTGCAGTGAACACATGTCTGTGCTTTGACTATAGAATGGCTCAGAAGCAAGTGGACATTTCAGGATGATCCTTGCCAGAAGTACTATGAAACCCTGTTTGTGAATCCTATCCTGCTGGTTCCACCGACAAAGGTATTCACCAGAGATGATGCCGTTACTCACGTTCCTGTTTAATCAGTGACACACTGCTTTTCTGTGCATCTTTTTTTCTAGGCGTTGGCTATTACTTTCACCAACTTCGTAACGGAGCCTCTGAAGCACGTAGGGCAAGGCATAGGCGAGTTCATCAAAGCCCTCATGAAGGAGGTGCCCTTGCTCCTGCAGGTGCCTGTGCTCATCATGATGGCTCTGGCTGTTCTGGTGTGTATGCACTTAGCTTATACTTACAGCATCACTGCTTCTATTTATGTTTTGGTAGTAGCATATAATTAATTATCATATAATGATTATCAAGTAATTATCAATAATAGTTAATGTCTATATATTACTTATGTTCAAGTATAGATCACATATATAAGTAATATATACTTATACATATGTATGTATAGTTTTTTTTTTATTCTTTATTTTTATTTATTTTTTTTCTTTATATATTTCTTATTCAGTCATTAAAAGCAGTCAAGGTTAAAGTTAGTCTGTATTCTCTTCCACATTTTATTCCACATTTCCTCTACAGGAATAAATTATTAAGGTAGCTTAAGATCCTAGAATCTATGACTGTTTATTTACAACTCAATTTCCACCTCTGTGGAAGTTTCTTCCTGCATGTAATGTGAGTTTTATATATGAAAGCACCGAGTTTTGACTTTATTGTAACCACTGTAATCATCTGAGCTGCTCCTTCAAGGTATTTTGTTACTGTCAAGACTGTAATTTAAGTCTTTGTTCTTTCTCTCTCCCCCAGGGTTTCTGCTACGGTGCAGGCTCTTCAGTGTCCCTGATAAGATACTTGACCTCCCCTCAGAGGAAGACGCTCCCTCTGCCTGACAGCCAGCAGGACGCAGTAGACTTCAGGCAGTACCGCACGAGTGACTCGGACATTTCCCCCTTACGGGAGCCTCCTGCTGTGACCAGAGGGCCCTTTGACAGAGGCGATGCCTGTCCCAGGCCTGGCAGCAGGAGTCCTGACCTCACCCATGTGAGCCGAGAGCTGGATGCGCAAGTACAAGAGTCTCACAGACCAGAACCCAGTGTATGTTAGCAAGTCTAGGGCTTGCTGAGCTCAGATTAAACGTACTAGACTGAAGCACCAACTAGTCTTAAGGCGGAACAAGGTTAAACAACCAAGCTTAGTCCAAATCTTGTAGAGGAGAGTTAGGAAATACCTGTTGTCCTGCAGTATAGCATTTCAGGCATATTTCCTCCTTGACAAATACTAGGCAATGGTTAACAGTGATAGGAAACTACTTCTCTTAATTGGAGCACTTCATAGTAAAGGATTTAAATCATTTCATTTTTTTGATATTTAAAACACTAATTGGCCTGATGTTAAAGACTACTCTTAGAAGAGAAAAAAAAATCAGTACTGACTTTTTTGTAGATTACAGAATATATGAAAACCAGACCTATATTCTAGATTGTGCTTATTTTATTGCCCCTGGAGCTGATAAACCTGAAGAAGTGGATCTCTCACTTCAGCTTTCTTGATTAATAGCTTATTATTAATTTTTACAGACTAGATTGCACACTGAGTCTGACGTTTGTAGACTAGCAACTCTCACAGCGGAATGTCTTCCTGAAGAGCCTGAACCCGAGCAGCACAAACAGCAGCTGCACAAAGTGGAGCAAGGGGCTGGAGAAAACTGCACACCTAATAAAAATCTGGAAGAGGAAAGTTCCACAATGGGAGCACTGGAGGACAAAGAAGAGAAGGGGGTGTCGCGTGAATCAGGGCAAGGAGACTGAGGAGTCGCCACACGGTAAGTTTTGTTTAAGCTCTATTTGTCACACATTTGTTCTGTTTTCTACATTTGAGACCTATAGCAGAACATCAGCAAGCTGAGAGAACTGACCTCTGTCACCACATTAGGATCTGTAGGGTTTGAAACAGAGAGGCTGAGTGCACATGAGTCCTTTACTGCTCTTGGAACTTTAGTGAGTTTATTTAGAATAAGATGTTATTTATATAACATACTATATAAATATTATATGCATAAAACATCTATATATAATATTTATATAAGTGGTTATATAACACAACAGGCTTGTGGTGTTGCTGCTCATCCTAAATCAAATTTGTATAACTAGATATTTTATGGTGGGCCAGCATGAGTTGTCTATGATCTAGCGAACCATTGTCTAGTAAAACAGGTTGAGGTTGCTGTTGTTTAGTCTGATTCTAATGCAGCACGGATGTATAAATACAGCTCCTCGAGAAGTCACAGAACTAACTGCAGAGCATTCTGTCTTTCAAATCACTTTTAAGTGGACAGAATTGTCAGTTTAGTTCTAGAGGATCTTAATGATTACCTTCTAGTGCAATAATCTGCCTAGGAGTAAGAAACTGATGCTGTACCAGTTTTGCTAGGACAATTCCCAATGCTAGGCAGGGAAGAACAAACATTCCAGGAAAGATTCTAGAGATCTGCTGGAGGCAGGGATAGCAACATGTGGATTTGGAAGAACATTCTGGCTTTTCCTCTTAAATGCAAGGAGATGAGTGTTAGCTTCATGACAAGTCAGTTTTCAAAGCTTAAAAAATGCTGTAATAGAATGTATATTAAAAAAAACCATTTTCAATTTAAAGATGGAGATTTCTTGATTTATAAATACTTGGAGCAAATAAATTTTCCACCTTTGCTGTTACAGTCAGTGACTTTTAGCTCACAACAATAGTACTTAAACACAGCTAAAGGCTAGGAGTCACATCAGGACTGATGCTTATAAGACAGGGGGAACAGTGACAGCAGCAGCAGGAGGCACTGGGGTAGGAAAGAGACCGCATGGAGAGTTGTTGCTTCCAGCTGCAGGAAGGACCTGCTGGCTGTGCTGAGCTCCCTGCACCTGCAACACTGGAGGTGCTGGAGGCAACACCCCCATGTGCTCGTTACAAACAACTACATCCTCCTAACAATTATTCTGACTTGTATACTTAAATATTACCAAAATAAGTCACCCGTGCTTTTGAAATAAACAGAATTACAACTAGCTTATTAAAAAGCAGTTTTTTTCTTAATAAAAATTGATTGCAGTAACACAGTTTAGAAGAAACAGACTAAGTACTGAGGCTATTTATTTCTCAATTATTTTTAAAAAAGTATAAAAGAAAACAGGACCTTTTTCCAGGGAATTATGAATTGTGGCAGGGGGAGGGAAGAGGGAAAATCAAGTTTTCCTTAAAAAGAAATTATACAAACTTAGATTTTACACTAGACAGAGACAGCAGTAGAATCCACACATTTGCACGAGGAGTACCCTGACAGAAAAGAAAATTCCTATTAATCTAAGAGATTAGAGGCAGTTAGAGGGAGATACAGTAGTCAGTAATTCCAAAAGACACTGCTATAAGTAGCTGCCAGCTACAAACAGGAGTGGCAGCTCTATCTTTAACTGCAGGTCCGTGGGGGCAATGCTGCTATTTATAAAAAAGAAAAAATAAAATTAATTGCTTTCTTTTTTTAAAGGCATGTATGTTTTTCCAGCAAACAAAAATGATACATAAGATGTTACTGTACAGAACAAGCCTATTACTTGCTTCAGCTAGAACTTGGTCCTTTTATAGCTGCGGGTAAATGCACCCTTTGTTCATCCATTCTCTTAGCTTGCGATCGTAAAATGAGGCTGAAAAAATCCTCATCGGGAACAGTGGGTCCTTTGGCAGCTGAGGGGGGAGCACATCTTTGATCATCCAGTCTGGAGCCCTGCAGAGATACCAAGCATAAACTGTGCTTATTTACATGATAGAGAAGGCAGCTTATAAGCTAAGTGAATAATATAAGTGAAAAATTACTCAAAGTTCTTGTTTTCTAACATGTAAGAGACTTAGAAGGGTTTAATGTCTATATTTTTAAAGTGGCTGAATGTTCAGGGAGATCCTACTTCTGAAATGGCTAGGTTAAAGGTGCAAAAACTGAAAATGCTCACCAAATATAGCTGTCATTAGATTATTAACATTAATAACTAGGTTTGTTATGTCAAAATAATATAACTAGATTAATCATCATTAATAAATTATCATTAATGATATTATTAATATTATTGTGTGCAGCACCATTTAAGTATTCTTTCTCTAGAAGAATAATTTTAGCCTTGCTGCTTTATGTTTCTACCCAGACAGTGCAGATACTAGGTTTATCCTCTGACATCCCAGCTCTGTTCTTTCTTTAGGCGAGGCTTCTTGCTCTTCCCTTAGAAGCTGTCCTGCACCCTGCAGCAAGGGGCCTTTCCCAGCTGCCTGTCACTGTTTAGGCAGGCTAGCTGTGCTGGTGTGGCAGCTGGCTGCGTTCCCAAGCTGGCACTGGGATGCTCACACTCTGCACTCCGCTCGTGCAGCAGCCCTGCTCTTGCTTAGTAGGGAACAGGCGCGGGGCAGGACCTGACACTGCGAATCCACTGTACTTAGTGTGAGGAGAGCGAGAATCCACCAAATTAAGCTAGAGTTGCAGAGAACAGACACATTGCTGGTTCACCACACTGATCAACGGCGCCACTGTGTCCGGTTCTGTTTCCTGCCCAAGGTAACCTCAGAAAACCTAGTCTGGATTTTTTTACACTGAGATCTTTATCAAGCCCTTAGAAGAGGACCAAAGCTCTTAGTTCTCTTTGGTTATAATGTTCTCTAAATAATAACTGGACACATCACTTATTACTATGAATTAGTGTTTCAGTTTATCACAACAGGAATGATAACCATTATCAAAACTGAAAATTTAATAGCAAATTATTTCATTTTGTAAGTTAGACCTCTGATTCACTAGAAATCCTCACAAGTGGATCCTTTTTCTAAGCAATGCTTTTACCCATGCCTTTCTGTAACCTCACTTGCTTTCACCTTTTCAGCATCCATCCAATGCATCATTTCTTTTAAATGGCTAAAAGACCACTTGGAGAAACATTTCTTATAAAGAATTCCATTATTTTATAGAAAGTTAAAAATAATTCTATATCTTATAGAGATATATGTCTTATAGAACTTTATGTTCCAATTTGTATCTTAAAACACATGCTACGGACGGGAGCTTACTTGAAGAACCTAAACACAAAACTAAATCCCTCAGGACTCAGTCTTAAGGTTTTTTCGCTCACCTGGCATTTTATGAGGATGTCGAAGAAGTCGTCATCGAGGTCCCTGTTGCCGCCGGGCAGGCGGCCGAGGCGCAGGCCGGGCAGGGCGCTGCAGCTGGCACGCTGGTCGTCCAGGCGGCGGCTCTGTGAGCTGGCCAGCAGATCCAGGAACTCATCCGTGTGCGGGGACACCACAGACACCGAAAAGGCTGTGGGACGGGAAGAAAAGCAGATTAGACTAGAAATAATGCCCTACTAGAGGAGGTCTGGCAGGCAAATACATTTTAAACCAGTATGAGCCAGGAACTACATTCAGAGAGGATGTTAATAAAAACCATTACACTTTCTCATTGTTTTAGGTGGAGAAGAGGATGCGGCTACAGCAGCAGCTGAGAATCTGTTCTTCTCCTGGAAGAAGCATCTCTGATCATCCATCCTGTTACTCTGGAATCGACTGAGCAGGTCAAAGAACCCCTCATCTGCCACTGTCTCCTGATGGTTTTTCTGAAAAGGACAGAAAAATAAGAGCAAATGCTGAACTCAAGGGCATCTAGCTCCAGGACAGCCACATGGCAGTTTCAATCCAGCAAGATCGTTATTGTATTCAGGTATCGGAGAACTGTTAAACACTAGTTTGCGTCATCCATTTTTTATAGATGGAGAGTTATCCTACAGTAATAGGAAGTGCTAATCCTACGGAAACGTTTTTGGAAGGTAAAAATCCATTAGAAACATTTCACACTCTGAAACTGAGAGAACTAGTTCTCTGATCGTTACCACAGGAGGTTTCTCCTCAGTTATTAACACACCGAAACTCAAGCGTCCATCAAGGAGAAAACAAAAGCCCCATAATGAACAGATTCCAGTTGGTCTTCAGGTATATGGTTCTCTCATTTCGATCTAATAATAAAATTATTGGTAATTTTAGCTGACTTATGTCAGGAGAGTAATGACCTAAAACATTTATCAAAGAAAAAAAATCCCACTGGCTGGTTCCAGGCAAGCTTGAAAGACAGTATGAGTCAGAAACCTAGGTTTTGTTCAGTTTGGAGAAATACAATCTGAGAGAAGTTCTAGAAATAAAATGTACATGCCAGCTGACCTAAAACTTCAGAAAATTTACCATGGAAAAAATTCTAATAGTCAGAAAAGCCTAAAGCTATCTTCATCCATGAGACATCTCTGAAACTGGTAGATTCTATATCAGTTCTCAGAGTGACACTGTTAAGGTTACGTAAACAAGTAAAACTCAAACAGATACTTGCAGGAATGTGTTTACTGTAATTTTCATCAATGGAAGATTTATTTAAAAAGCTGTAATTTCCAATCCTACCCTTTGGGAGGCTGGCAGTCGATGATCAATAGAATTACTGGCATCCTGTAGAACTTTGGAAGTGCTGCTGGTTTTGTACTTTTTGCCTTTCAGTCGATTTACAAAATGCAGCTTAGCTGAAGGTTTGGCAACCAGGGGTTTCTGCTTAGCAAGAATCTCACTGTTCCAGTTCTGAACCTAAGAGAATAAGAGTCATGAAATTAACCCTTTTAATTTTAATTACATTATACTGATGCCTCTCCAAGTTGCTTCTTTTTCACCCCAAAGTGAAGCAACTTTACATTGTTTAGTGGATCCTGCCACTTAGCTTTTGGTTGTATCACGTGATATATGATTAGTGAGATGTTATTTACCTGAAGCAGATTAGTACTCTGGTAAAGGTAGGGCTCTTAAGTGAGCCACAGTGAGACACCTGATTGATTAAATTGTGGTATAATGGTGGATTTCATCAAACACCCAGAAGTTTTCCTTACTGTCTGCGGGGTAGGAAATGTAGCTAATATGACTGCTAAAAGTCAGGTACAGGAGGCAGTCCCCGCAGGACGTTTTTGACACATGAAATAGAAACAGGGCGTTGGAGGGGGAGAGCAAAGCTGTGTACACAGTAGCTCCTGCCCAGCCTTTTATGGAGCCCTTTGGATACACCCACTTCCCCGTAAAGCTTGAAAAGGAAGAGTGAGACAAATGCCAGCAGTTGGACTGCATCACCCTGACTCAGTTTGCATATTTTCTCTTCTGGAATAAACGAAATTATCCACAAAATAATCTACAACTGACATTCCTTTATAATAACCGCATGAAATTTTTTTTTCCCCGATCCACCATCAGAAATGGTATCCATAAGCACAAATCCAGCAGCAGCACTGTCTGCCACAAGGGAATTGCCTTTAAAGGCTTAAGCTGCACCTGAGGGCAGCAGCRTGGAGCAGGCACCGCCGCGTGGCACCACAGCTCTGTAAGCAACAGAAACCTTCCCTGGAGGAGTGGCCATATGCTGCTAACATAAGGAGCTTGAAAAAAGCCCTTGACTAAACGCTGTGCTGGGCTGTTACAATTAATACATTATAAGAAGCCATGTGAAAAGTTTTGGTATATTTAGGGAAGGAACTGTTACACAAACACCATTTTGAAAGCTATCACAGATAAAGGGATTTAGAAAGTAAGAAAATAGAGCTGGTAATAACCAAAAGCTTAGAGGATCCCCAGAGAGAAGCCAGTCTGGGATACGGCAAACTAGCTTTACATCAGTGCTCAATGAGGCTCTGGGCATGAGCAAACTCTCCACAAATCACTGCCTATGAAAGACACTGACTTACATGCCTGGCAACAGTCTGTCTTGTCTCAGCTAATTGTTAGACCTTCTTTTACGTAATTGTTAAGATCAGCTAAGTGACATATCAAAGTTTGTCGCCTTCTTTCAAAGCAGTTAGGTACAAAACTTCTGACTATTTTGTCCTAGAGCCACTCTTATCCTTTTAACACAAGTAATAATAGCAAATTCACAATTTACAGTAAAACCATGACAAATTGTTTTTGCAGCCTTACTGGAGAAAAAGAAAAGTGCCAACCTTTTCTGGTGTCAGTTTCATCAGTTCCATATTTTCCATACTGTGACGGCGTCCTACTCTGGGCCTGGCACCTTCAGGGAAGAAGCAGGTTCAGCTTTTTATCACTGAGATTCCTGGTGTTACCGTTGAAGAGGGGCTCTGCCTGTAGTCACCTGACTCCAAGATATAGCAGCCCAAGTTCCCAAGTGGTGCAGTTAAATTGATCAGTAGACAGCAAATCTCTGTTAGTATAAACACCCCTCTAAACCTCATATATCTGTAAAAGGCCTAGGGAGCTATGAAGAGAGCTCATCAAATTAAGCATCTTCTGGAGAAAGCCTCATTACTGGTTACTAAGATGTCCAGTCCCCTCCCACCCCCTGAAAAGTGAGAAATAGCTAGAATACCAATATTCATGTGAAGGAGATAAGCAATAACCTGTGATTCACCATGTAAATGCTCAAAACAAATAGGGGGCTCAAGGGGCCCATTACTGCAAAAATTACCATTATACCAAGTAGTAACATACACAAGCAATTATGCAACGAACAGATTTTTTTCTTTCTGAAGTTCAACTGTTAGGATTCTATAAATAAGCACATACCATTCAAACTATTATCAGCCACATGGTTTTCTGACATCATGGAGTTATTGGTGCTATAGCTCAGCCCAAGAACCATCTGAAGATCAGAGAGATTAAGCCTAGCAGTGAGTTCTCCACTTCTATCTCCAACCTGCAGCCATATAAAATAAGCAGATCTAGTACTGCAATAAAATATGTACCTATGTTAATATAAAGCAAGCATCTTCTCTCCCAAACCGCTGGTTCAAAACTGAATTAACTTTTTATTGTATTTTAATGTAAAAACTAAAAGCAGGGTATAAACCAGAGCCTAAAGCAATTCTGCTTCCCCACCCCGAGGCGCAGACACATCGGTAACCACCGCCCTGACAGGAGCGCAGAAGGCAGCAGCCTGCGCACGTGAGGGGTGCAAATCCTACCTCTCGGGAGATGTCCAAGTGCCTCTCTGCAAAGTGCATCGCTTGGTCGTGATTCCCCAGGGCAGTGTAAGCGTTGCCCAGGCTCCAGCATGCGCGCCCTTCCCCGACTCTGCAAAGAATGAGCCAACGTTGAAGCACAGCTCCCTTTACTGACCAGCACTAGGGGGCAGGTTCTCATAACAAGGCCACTATGGGATGGCTGCACCAAGGAAAATAAAAGATTCCCATCAGAAACTCTACCAACACAGATGCCTTCAAGTATCTTGATTAAGTATGAGCTGGGCATAAGCATGAATGAGAACAAATCCCACAAAATCTTGGATTTTTAAACTCAGCACACAACTTATTCCTTCCATTCTTGCAAACATTGTACATAGCAAATCAGCTGCGTGTTGCCCCAAGGGAAAAGAAAATTACAAAACAAAAACAAAAATTGGGTTGCACTCCACCCAATGTTACAGAAAAATTCAGAAATAGTGGTCTTAAAACAAATGTTACTTGCTAATAGATTTATTCTTCTCCCTTCCCACTCTTGCTCGTTTGTGGAAAAACAGAAGATACCTTTTCTTCCAAAAGTATGCAAAATTACTGGAGTCAAATCCTAGCAAACAAAGATCTGCTTCTGTTTTCCTTAATTTATAAAGGAACAACACAAGTTGTGGAAACTGTCATTCATCAGTGCTGTAACAAATCTGAAGAAAGGCTCAGGCTCACTAACTGACATACCTTCAAGCATTCTTTTTTCCATTTAAAAACTGGAACTCAGCATTGTAGGGAATTCATATGAATTCACATATCATATACAGAAAAAAAGCAGGGCTAAAAGGTAACAGGACTTGGTTTAAGTGTCATGCGCACATTAAACAATCTCTCAGGACTTACTTGTCATTTAACTCCTTAGCAATCACCAGGTGCTTCAAATGATAATCAATTGCTTTTTCATAGTCCTGAAGCAAGGTGTAGGTGTTCCCTAGGCTGTAGCAGGCCTGCGCTTCCACCGCTCTGTCTTTAAGCTGCCGAGCCAGCTGCAACGTCCTCCTAAAAGAAAGAGGAGGTCACCACAGAAATCACTGTGGGAAAAGTTGTAAAAAGTGTACAAACCTGTTCAGCTAAAAATCACTTACACAAATTCATCAGGTTAAATAACTAGGCAAATTCGCTCATCTCTATCCCATAAAATTTTGTTAAGATTTTAAATGACTTTGTTCCACTTCCTTGCAATCAATTTCCACTCACTGTATTAGGGAGCAGACTGGTCCCCTAAACTGCATCTCCTGATTTTAATCAGTTGCTTCATCAATAATTTATAGCAATTTTCCTGACAGTTTGGACTTGACACAGTTTCCTACCTGGATTAAAGCATTAAAATAAATACTATATATTCTCCATAGATCCTGTAATACCCAAAACCACCAAGCCAGCTTGTCCTTGCTGGCTGAGAGGAATTGCAGAGCTAAGTGCTAAACAGGTTCTGCTCAGGATTCAGCCTTTTTTCCTATTTTTAAAAAGAACAGTCAGCCTAGAGACACTTGCACCCACACTGCACCTTTGCAGTGTGTGTATTTTCCTAAGTTACAGCAGCAACAATTGCTTGTACTGAGGGGATGAAGAAAAAAATCTGGATTAATACAGCCCAAATTTTGACATGCACTAGCTCAGCAACACTAAAGCCTGCTCAGATCACTCCAAAATTTAGTAAGAGCTAAGGCAGTAAATGCTCCATCTGTGAAACAGCAGCAGGAAGACACGTACTACAGAAAGATGCCTGCAGTGTCAAGAATAACCTATTTAAAAGTAACAAAAAAGTTCAAAGACAAATATTTTGCTGAACAAATCCAATTTATCTCTAAGCATATTCTGAAGAGATGGTCATTCTATAGTCAGCTAAAGTGATAAGCACAAGGAAAATAAAAATGTGCAAGAAGATATGAAATTTATAAGCAGTCAAACTAACTTGTAGTATTCTGAAGCGGTTTCAAATTCACCCAGGAATATGTAGGCATTTCCAAGATTGCTGTAGGCTCTTCTCTCAGCTGAGGTATCACCAAATTCTTTTGCAATTAGTAGACGCTTTAAAATATCAAACAAGCACATTAATCCCTCAGCTTTACATTTCAGAACACACACACACCGGAGTGCCCGCCACTGTGTGAAATGCCGGCTCTTTAGGCCAGCACCCAACAGGCACAGCCGGACCGGGAGCCGTGCACCAAGATCCAAGGCCCACCTGGTGCTGAGAACCTTGCAAGAGGCAGCACAACCCGCACGCGTGACATGGGAGCAGCCAGCCATGCACTGCCTGCACAGGGAGGGCTCCCTCCTGGGCACTG